CGGCTCCCTTTGGTTCGGTCTTCTTTTCACGTGGTCCGTGGTCCCTGAGGCCACCGTCTAGGCCCGGCGGCCGGTTTGGGGTGTTTCTCGGGGTCTTCCTTTGGGGTGGTGTGGCTTTTTCAGTGCAGTTCGAGAACTTTAGGAAGTGCATGTCTGATCATGTCTGGAAAGATGATGTTATAGAATGTTATAGACATGGCTATCAATGATATACCAGCATCATCCAACAGGTCACCAATATGTTGACCCTTTAGGGCCCCACCCCCCTCTTTTTGGACCCGAACATGAAGGCGTGGCGAGGTGATCACGGATTCACATCGCGACAGCTCGCGACAGCTCCATGCCAAGACACTGCAATTGGCAAAGGCCCCAGGCCGCACCTGGGGAATGCTGTCCGGGGGGATGGTCAAGGTCGCCAACGAGCCTCAGGGCTGCGCGGAGCTGCGAAGCGAAGCCTGGCCGCCTTGGGCAGGGTAGATCTCCACCCGAAGTAGGATTCCTGGCCCGGCATTGATAAGGTGTTTAAGAAGAACCCTTGGTTTGAATGCAGGATTTTAGACTACAACATACCAGCTCAAACAGGTTTTAAAGGGTCGTCTAAGAATGTCTTAGTCTTAGACTCCCAGGGTTCACAAACTTCTTGAAGGGTGATCTCCAGCTGAGATGGAGACCATCCACCTTTCAGTGCCTAAAAGAGTTTCAACGAACATCCAGAAAAAAGGTCACCCCTGTTCCGAATGGGTCCAGTCGGGTCGAGGCCGGTCACATCACACGGTTCCCAAATCCTTCCGTTTTCCAACGGCAGACCCCGTCCGGAGAGCCCGAGCCCGGACGCCCGGCCGGTGCCACAGACGCCGGTTGCGCCGGAAGATTCCGTCCAACGAAGCCGAGCGCCCGGCGGTGCTTCACATCGGCAGGCCCGGTGCTTCAGGGTTGAACCCGGATGGGCTCCTGTCGGACCTTCTGAGAAGGTGTTTAGGATGGGTGCCAGGAGGGTCCAGTCATACCGAACCTGAGAAGGTACTTGGAGGTGTAGGGGAAGGGATCTGCATCGCTCAAAAAAGATCCGTCTTTGGACTGGAAAGGATGCCTCCCGGTACCCGAACCAATCCCGGTTTTGAGGGACCAAGGAACTGTTTGGAGCATCTGGGCTAGCTATACCCAGATACTCCATGTATGCCATATATGCCTACATTGACCCCCAAAACCACCCCAATGTAGGTAAATATACCAGTCCCATGGAGTGTCTGGGATGTATATTCATTCACCCCGCTCAAAACCCACCCCAACTGGCCTTTTCTGGGCTAGCTATATGCCAGTCCTCCGGCCATCGTTTCGGGGTGAAACCATGGTCCAAGCTGGTCACGACTCACGACCTACCTCGATCCCTGAAGGGCAAACCCGAAACAAAGAAGCAGTTCGAAAGAAACGGCCCACATGCAGTTCGACGTTCGCTTAAATTGAGCCCTTGTGGACTTCTTTCTCCCAAAATTGGTAACTATAGAAAAAAAGACACATCTGGTTCCCAAAACCCAATGCATCGTTAATCATGAATCATCAAGAATCATCAAGAATCATCATCATCATCAATCATCAATCATCATCGATCATAATACATTTATCTTTACAGTAAAATTCTGAAACCTAATGCTATCCACAAAAACAATTGATGGACTCCACCTGTCGTCCTATTCGTCAACCTCGCCGGGCCACTGCAGCCTGAAAAGGCTTTGCTACCAATGTAGCCCACGGAGCCTCACTGGTGCCAAGTTCATGTGCAGCCGGAAGTCCATGCGTGCAGGTGCAAATATGGGTGCACCATGTTGCAATGATGGGAGATGGGCAGGAATTGTGAGATTCAATGAAACATGTTCCAGAATTCGATTTGCTGCACTGAATCTTAGATCTCTACTTGTCAATCACATCTCCCAAGCATGCGTAAAACCAGTCGAATACACACCGCCACACGGCTTCGCGCGGCTCCCTCGCTTCGGCGTCAGCCCGCGTGCGGCGAACGGAACGGCGAACGGCGGAGTCTCTTCCTTCGCTCCAGGGCACTGGGCACCGTCAAGCTGCGAAGGGCTTTGCATCCCTCGAAACTGGCTTCGCCAATGTCCGTCACCTCTCGACGTACGTCGTTGCGGTGCGTGTCGCGAACCGTGGAGCGAGGCGGCGGATCGGGCGGTTCGGTGGCACGACGCGGGGGAGGGGGGGGCGGTTTTCGGTCTTCCGTCGAGCGGCTTGGCTCCGGAGAACCTCATCGCGCCAGTTTTCAGGCCCCTGAAACCGAGGTGGCAAGTGGACTCCTGGCTGGGCCGCTCTTCTTGGAAGGGAATACTCCACACAACATGACCCGCGGTGGGTCACCGGGTGCGTTGAACAAACCGCCACGGCACGGAATCGGGTAGCGTGACGCTGAACAAGGAGGTGCAATGCTGGAAGGCCGCACTGCCAATCTCCTCGGCGACTCAGCTCCGGAGAGCGGCACCGTCCGGGAGATTTCAAGGGCGAAGCCCTGTTGTGGCGACCAGACGTCAAGCAAGCATGAAATGGTGGGATGGTTTTATAGGTTTATATCTTCACTTACGACTGCAGGCATGGGCATGGGCATGGAGAAGCGTAAACCAAGAACGAATCGAAACCCAAAATTCCTCAACACCAGTCAAATCCAATTAACCTGAAAGTGTTCATACGTACGTTCCCTTGCTTACATTCCCTTAAAAGGCCATCCAAGGCCCCTATAACCCTTCACTAGTAGCTTCTTGCTCCTAGTAGCGATGTCCTTTGTTACTATAAGTAGCTTCTAGTAGTCATCCCCTTTGTTACTAGTAGCTATAATAGGTCTCTCCGTCGCCCATCCCCCCAAACCCGCACCACGGAGGGAAGAGCCCTCCCGACAAACACCGAGGTGGCGAGAAAAAGCAATAAAAAATGCATGCGCCACACCCTACAAGTCTCCAAGACCGCGTAGCACGGTCTGTGACCTCCTTAAGTCATGCTTAAGTCTTGGTTTTATATATGTCTTTGACCTGTAAGGGACACAATGAGGCCCTCCTTCCTCCATCCTCCGACTCGGTCTCCCCTCCCAGGCGTCGGTGACCGAGTCCGGAATCACCACCTCCCGCAGGGCGCCGCAGCCGGCGAACGCGCCGGCGCCGATCTCCCTCACGGTGTCGGGGATCACCACGCTCTCCTCGGCCGCCGCGGACGTCGCCGCGCGGCGCGACGGGGAGCGCGGGTCGTCCGCGCGCGGACGTTCACGTGACGTGAGGCGGGCGGAGGCCGGGAGGAGATGCGAAGGGGGTGGTGGATCTGCGTAGAAGGTGGATTTTTGACGGGTTGGAGGAGAGTTGGAGATGGTTGGATGGTGCTTTGTTTGAGGGGGAGGTGTATAGTCCGCAATTAGTTCTCGTTGGGTCGAATGTTTTAGGTTGGTCAATTGGATTAAATTGGTGGAATGGATTGGAATGGTGGATGGATTGTGGGTTGACGGTGGGTGGTGGAGGCCATCCATCTTGTCCCATATAGTATTAAAACAGAATCCAGGAACCCCATCAAAAGCACCGAACAGAGTGAACATCTTCAGGAAATCAGCGATAGCGGGCGAAAGCTGAAACCAACAGATCTTGGATCCCTAGCTCTCCTATCCGCTGCAGCGTTAAAACGGTGACCTCCCCGGTCTCCGTCTCCGTCCGTTCCGTCCGATTTAGTGAGCCGAGGGCTCGAGGCTTTCACAGCCTTCGAAGGTGCCTTCGCTGATCTTGGTGACGGAGTCGGGGAGGGTCACACCTCGATCGAACAGCGGACGGACCGGCAGGTGTCGCTCCGACCTCTGTGGAGTGGACGGAGTGACCTCTGTCTGTCTGTCCTCTGTTGGGGATCCTCTGCCGATGTCGTGGAGCGGACGGCAAAGGAGCTCTGGGATGGTTCCGAGCCAAATCCACGAGAGGAGCTCGGGCACTATCCCAGATCCAGGATCCGGAAGGAGTCTTTTTCTTGGGCCGCGCAGCTTCTTCATTTTTGGTCCATCCTTCCCAGGAGTTGAACAAAGGTGCTTTCTTTCCATTCAGGGGTGCCCAGAACCTCCACCCTAGGGATCCAAGCACCTTCTCAGAAGGCACTTGGACCCTCCAAACCTACATAGCAGTGTCGCCAATCACCGTACCTGAGGTTCGGTACGAAAACGGATCCCTATAGAGCCACTCCACCTACCTCCGGGACGAAACACGTTCCCTCACTGGTCCACTCCACCTCTCCAAGTGGCTCACGAGTGACTGGCATCCCGAGAACGCATTTTCCCAGATCTCCTCAGTCGGTCGAGCCGGAGCCCCAACTTGGACGAGACGCTGTGTCACGCGGCGAAGAGAAGCACGTCGGTGAAGCACCGGAGATCGAAGAAGGTGAAGAACATGCGGAACATGGTTACCATGCATGGTTACATGGTTATAGAACATGGAACATGCAATTGCTGCTATCATGGTTACCATGGTTCGTTACATGCCATCCATCTCCGCGGGGCGGGTGCTTCGGTGCCCCGCTACAGAACCCACGTCATCACGACGGACCCTGCCGCATCCCCCGACCAGCGCCCCTGTGGATGGTGGTCCACAAAGAAATACCAGCGACATCTATATAGAGCAACATGCGAATGCAACGGAGGGTTTGCACACCCCTTGGCCCTGGCCCCTGTGTTTTTTTCCAACAATCCTTTGCCTGGTGCTGGACAACTCTGCAGACTCTACATATAGTCACTCCCTTCCATTTGGATGGGCAGTTCAGACAGTCCGTGTTTCTGTGTGCCTGGTGATGTCCTGGAATTTCAGCCATGAAATCCAAATTGTGTCCTTCTCTATTCCAAGCTCGGCAAGGTCTGTTACCCTCCAAAGAAGCACCGTGGACAGAAACTAAGAGTGAAAAAACTGAGAAAACTTGGAGTGTTTTCGAATCTTCCTCACCACCACACCTAGGACCTGGCACTTTGTGTCATAGTCCAAAATCTTTCAAGCAACATCCGCACTACGCGGGTGTTGCAAGGTTCGTCCAAAACCGCATGCCAACCCAATCGCCGGAAGCAGCAGCGGATCTCGACCATCCCCGACCCAAGGGTCCGTGACGGAGTTGGGGATCTCGATCTTCTCCATGGACAAGCAGTTCGCGAAGGCCTCCCCAGCTCTCCAGGAAGGCGTATACTTTGTGGTGCTTCCATCCACCGTGGGGGCACGTGCGCGTGTGCGGTTGCGCACGACGTGGTGGTTTTGCACGTGGGTCTGGAAGCTCAAAGCACCGGAGGAAAAGCGCCAAACATGGTGTTGGAAGATCAGGATCATCATGGATCATCATGATCCGTTTTTTGCTGGGTGCTGTTTCAGGACTTGGAATCAGGAATCCTGGAAATCTTGGGCCTTGGAAGGTTGGAATGGTTGGAATCCTCCATGTCGCATTTGGCACCTGCGATCCTCCAAAAAATTTGTCTAAATCAGTCTTTGCCTGACTTCGTGACGCACACGCGTGCTGTGGGAAGTGGCATGCCAAGAATCACGGGGTCGTTTCAAGTGCTGAACACAAATATGGTGTCTGACAGAGATCTTATCAGAGTCCTGTGATCTCAGAGTCCTGTGAAAATGATTGTGAGATTTTGAAGCATCCATCTCGCCGAGACGTCCGAAGCCATGGGGTGCTGAAGCCATGCATTCTCTCTTGGTGTATGACATCGGAACATGCGTTCGGAATTCAGACCGTCTGAAAAGAGATGAACTTACCAGCACCACCCAGGTCCGGTGGTTTATAGACCATCGATTTTCCATCTGATAACCACTCTTCGAGTGGTGGTAATCAGACCTTTCAGTTCAATGAAATGCTACGCCATACCCAAGCTCGCTGTAGCCGCGCATGCACTCCCTGCGCCTGCTCTCCGATGTCCGTGACCGTGTTCGGGATCTCGATCCGCTCCAAGCAGATGCAATCGCGGAAGGCGGCCTCGCCGATCTCCGTGACGGTCTCGGGGATGAGGACGCTGATGAGAAAGGGGCAGTTCTCAAAGGCATTGTCCTGGAGATCTGAGAGCAGAATCTGACGACTAGTCACAAGGACAATCGCTACTAGTCACAAGGGCATTACTACTATAAATTAATGCTAGAAGCTTTGTATGCTGGAATGGAGTTGGCAAGGGTAAAAAATCGGAATGGAGACGGTTGAACATCCCGCCCGGATGGGGTGTGAAAAAAAACGCTGGTGGTCGAGCACCAAGCTGGTTCCCGAGGTCCATAGTTGGCGGAATGTACTTGTTTGGATCTTGGTAGTGTCTTTTGGGGGATCTTACTGTGGATGGGGTGAGATGAACTGGCCATGAGGCTTAAGGCACCAAGAGGATCTGTCTCGGGTCTGTGCTCCCATCCGCTGGGAGGCGGTGGGAGGAGGCAACTGAAATGATATGAAATGCATGGTTTTACACGTTTATTTGTCTGTTCCGCTAATCCCCCCATTCCCCTTTGTCCTCTGGTTTCCCCCATCCTCTCTCTCTACCCCCCTTCTCATTCTACCAAACCTGTCACGGGGCCGGTCACATCTCTCACTTCCGTGTAGCGCAGCGCCGCAGCGCCTTGGGGGCCAGACTCGCTCCTTCCCTTCTGAACACCACGCCGAACACCGGCCATCTGTCACGGCCTCGATCTCTGTCACGCCGCTGGGGATGCTCACGAAGCGCAAGTCTTCCAGGTCGCAGGGCGACTCGTCCTCCGACCCGGTCGACCCCGGACCGCGGGGACCGAGGGGACCGCGGCGTCGGAACAGGACGGCCGCGTTCCGTGGGCCCCCTTCCAAGTAGATGGGCGTTTGTGGATGAAGGTGGTTGAGATTTAAAAAAAGAACAGCTTCAACAGGTCTCCGAAATGGAGGGTTGGGAAGGGCCCAACAGGTTTCAATTGGTGAGCTGGTTCAGTCGGTGCTGGAAATGATGTCGTTCTTTTGGGGGGAGAAAAAGGGGAGCATGCGGCCCCCTACGTCTCGGTCGCCGCCCACCGCAGTCCGGTGCCGACCTAAATCAAGAAGGGTCCTTCTTGGCACATTGGACGGGCGCGATGCTGAAGACCGCGTCGAGGACTTCCTCCTTCTCGATTTGGAGCTCTTCCAAGGTCTTGTCATTCTCCAACTTCCGATCGCCTGGCGACGCCGTCACCGCGCGGGGACGGCGGGGCGCGCGCGGACCGCGGTGCGCGCTCGTGGTGCGGATGGCGGTGAGCTTCGCTCGAGGCCCCATGTGGACCTTCCAGTCGATTTCATGAGTTCTAATGTGGACTCCTGGTTATTAATATACTAACCTCCCCTATATTTTTGAAATTGAAATCCTTTTCATATATGGGGGGTTACTAATCAAGGGTCTACATTCTATGTCCCGACACTGCTGGTCGGAGCCGAAAGGCTGTCAGCGCTGTCTCCCGTTGCTGTCAGCGCACGGATGGTTCTTCAAGGCTTCAGAGGCCGCGCGCATTGGACCGACTGCTTCCTCCATGTTTTTGGTCCGTTTGCGTCAAACCACGCCCCAAGAAGAATCACCAGAATGCCAGAAGGTGGTGGTCATTCATGAACGTTGTAGTCAAGACAGTGTGTTGTAGTCAAGACAAACTCTACAGAACTGCGAAGAAATGGCCATCGCTGGACGTCTTGTGCATCGATCTGTGTGATTGGGCTACCTGGTAGCCCATGTGATGCAGGCTACCACCACTACCAATTCGGGGTGAAATGAGTCATTTTCCTAGACTTTCAGGGCTAAGAGCGCCACACAACTGAATATGAGAGGCCAGATCGGATGCTCCATGCTACTGCTGTGGAACACGCGAGTGTGAAGGGAGACCCATGCTAGTTGCAGGAAGCCCAGGCAGCCGCACCAGGCCCACAAAATCCTCTTGCGACTTGGGCATCTCGATCGTTCCGCACCACTCCCCCCCCGGCAATTCACCTTACCATCCACCTGATTCAATGTCTGCGCCTGCCCTTGGAACGACGCACCGTCCAAGCGTGCACCCGCGGCGGGGGGAATGGACCCGCCATGTGGACCGCGGCTGAAGAGCCGGCCGCGCGACACACCCAGCGATGGACCCGTGCGGACGGACCCTATGCCCAGGCCTCGGATGAGTTCCAAGGTCGTGAGGCGCTTGCTGAAATCATCCAAGGTGGGGTGTGAGAATCTCAGTTGTCGTTTGAGGGCCCGGACGCTCATGTCGGGCGTCGCCTGCGCAGGTGTGAGCTGGCAGTGAGTTTGAAACACGGCTGCTCTCCAGGCTCTTCCAGGTCAAAAACCAGCATGGGGATGATGACTTAAGACAAAAAAAAAAGCGAAAAGCATGGAAAAGCGATCGTTCTGGAGGAGTGTCTTTTAGGGGCTTTGGTTTCTCGCAAAACATGGCAACATATGGCAACTGTCTTCCTTTGAGTCTTTTAATGAGACTATCTACCGGTCTTTCAAGACCTTGGAGCCTGATGCATGCTTCCTGCGACCGTCCGGCACCCATCTGAGCCCGGACCTCCCCCAAAAAGACCAGACCCACAGTGTCACCTCGACCTCGGACGGACTCGACCTCGGACCGGAACGACGTTCGCATCTACGGACGGACGACTCCCCATGGTTGGTGTGATTCTGGTCCCGTGCCGGAAGCTTGCTGGACCCCAGGCGGGCGGCTAGACCGACACCCGGACGGACCCGCGCCCACACCGCCCCGCGGGCTCCCGCGCTCTGCTGCGCCGCGGCCTCGAAGCTGTTGGTGGAGCCGCTCATCTGTCGCACCCGCACAATCTGGATCAGCGGCACGTCGGCCACGCAGCCGCGCGCGGGCGGACAGTGCGGCGCGGCAGAGTCGGCCACGGCGGCCGTGGCGGACTCCAACCAGGTGGCCATGGTGCGGAGAAGGAAGAGAGCCAGGTGATCTAACCTGTGTAGATCCGGATCTGGATGGAACAAGACATCTAATTTATATATCATATGATGTTATTTGCTTTTATATCATATATTATGTATTAATTATATATATTATATGTAATATAGTAATCTCTCTATATATACATCTTGTTATCGGTGGTTTGTATAGTACGGCAGGCACTTCCCCATACGCCACATGCCCCCCTAAATTCTCATTGATTTACTTCAAACAGACATGTGTTTTCATCCTCGTCCTGTCCCGTTCGCGGAAAAAAGAAACAATAAGAAACATCGGGTCCCGAACCGCCGTCGGCTCGCATGGACGAGCCGAACCTTGTCGCCTCCTTTTGAAGAAAAGGAAAAGCAAAGGCCGCCCCAAAAATGACACCCAGATGCTTCGCGAGTTTGACCTCATGGTTTCTTCTCTCATGTCGTCTATGGTTTTATGTGTTCTTTTGTTCCGATTCCACATCCGTCCGTGGTTTCACCGGCTTACCGATACGATGTCTGGGTTCATGTCTGGTTTCCTGATGTCACAACTGCTGGGTTTCATGATCTTAATGCTCGAACCCGCCCAGCAGGGAGGTAGTTTCACCTCCCGCTTGAGCGAAGAAGATGGGAACTTGCGCAGGACGGCGGAGACGGGAAAAAAAGGAGTATACCTGGTTGGGGCATGTTGGGGCTGTGTCTACTTTAGTGTCTTTTGGGGAGCCTTAGAACCCTAAAACAACCACACCCCTTTGCGACCAACAAGTCCTAGGAGGAGGTCATTGCTTCTTGCTATGTTCTTGTTGTTTCATGTTTATTTCAAGTAAAGGAGATATCCATCATTGAAGAGCCCTCAGATGGGATTTACCGAACACTCGAAAAGTAAAAAAGAATGTGAACACCCATGAAAACCGGGTCATCTCTTGGAAAGGCTGGTCATCATGGTCATGTCTATTCATATGTCCTATCAATCTCCTACCTACATCCTGGTCATGAACAGCTGCATCGATGGAGGCCGTCCAGACCCCTCCTCCAGCCATCGCCAGCCGTTGCCCCATAGGGCACCAGGATCGACGAGACCTGGCTGAAAGTGATCCAACTGGGATCTCGTCTCGCGAACAATGATCTTCATGGCAAGTCAGACCCCCATCATGGCAACCATCATGTAGATTGTCAAGTATGAAGAAAAAGTAAAAAATGAAAAATCGTAATTTAATATAAGCTCTTAAGCAAAAAAGAACGTCAAAAGTATATCCAAGTTCTCAAGTTCTCCCATCACGCCGGTCCCCCCCCCCCGATCCCCCTGCGGTCCCTGGTCCGAGGCGCGTGATCGATGCCTCCAAACACGCGCGGCTCCATGGCGAACCCGCCGCGCCATGGTCCAGCGGTGAAAAAGGGTTGCGAGGATCGGTTGCGTCGAACCACCGGGTGCACTTCCAACGGGTGCCCTGGAGTAGGAGACCTGTTGACGTAGGATAGGACAGGATGATCCTGGTATATATATATATATATGTTATACATGTTATATACTATATATTGCTGTATATATTATACAATAGCTGGTCACCACAATTACACAAATATACATATACATTTAAACTAAGGGGTTATTTCTGCGGATCAATTACATGTGATTACATGTGTCTCGATTGACCTTTGCTTGGACTCTAAATGCCAGTTGGATGACAACTTGTGGCTCTTTGTTGCCTACTTGTTGCAGCACGCAATTGCCAAACCTTGATCAGTGTAATTGATGTGCAACCAGTGAAATCTTGCCTGTCCTTAGATCTTCTGCTAAGGGCTGCACCTTTAGGGGGGTGGTATGGTTTAGTTGTTAAATAGTGAACCAAAGGGTCCAAGGGTCCTTTGATGGTCCTTTGTGTACCAAAGGAAGGTCGAAATGAATCTCCACTTCAGCCCCTTGGTCTTGGGTCGAAATACTGAATCTTCTGCTATCTTTTACAGAAATGGACCATCGAGGCTACTCATGGTGCAAAGCGGGACGCCACCTTGCTTTACAATACTGCAACAAACGCGAGCGGTGAGCTTTCTATCGTTTTTTAGTTTACCACAAATAGACACCAGCCCAATCGCCACCAGCCCGGCCAGCTGGGCTCGTCGGAACCTCAGAACTCCCGTGTTCAACTCCTCCCCTCCGTGTTCAAACTCGATGAGCAGGGCAGGGCCCCCGGACCACTTCGGCTGGAAGCCGCTTGAACATGGGATTGCAATCCCTGGGATCCTCTCGGTCATTGGCGGAGTTCCTCGGACGGACCGACGCACGTCCACGCCCACGCCACGCCCACGCCGGCTTGGAACGGAGTCCAGGCGGCCAAACATCGTGTCCAGCCGTGCTCTTTGGGGCGCCCAAGGGAAGAAAGGCCGTGGAAAAAGCGGAGAAAGACGTGTGAATGACCAAGGTTCGGAAAGCCCCCCAGTTTCCGTGGCGATGGCGAAAAGGGCGGGGAGCGTGTGCATTCTGTTCGAAACTTCTGTTCTCCTGGTTTGAACGGCTCATGATCGAGCACTTCCGAGCATAGCCGACGAAGAAGCTGCCAAGTTCCAATCCAATTCTGTAAACAATCAAAGTGACAACAACCAATTGTATCCCGATGACCCCATGTTGACCCTGTACAAATCGTACAGAAACCATTAGTATCCATCAGTTAATCTGTGTTTATTTGTCAACCCCATCAACAGGTCCCTTCTTCCGTGGTTATCCCTCATTCTCAAACCCTCTCTCTCTGCATCTCTCTGCTACAATTTGGCTGCTTCTCCGAGAAATCTACGCCCATGCTTGGAAAAAAGAACTCAAGTTAAGTCTTCAACATTCAACTATATGTTTCACGGCTCAGCTGTCAAACTGCATATACATGTGTACAGCTCCCCCTTGTTACTGGACCGCTTCCGGCCGTGAAGCTGCAGCTGCAGCGGTCGCTCCGCTCGGCCCGACCCGGAGCCAGGTCCCCCCGCGTGGACGACGGCATGGTCTTGGGACGCTTCGTAAACTCCATACACCACGGGGTCAGGCCGAGGTCTTGAAGGGAAGAGCTCGGTGTTGTCCAAGGGAAGTCTGAAAACTTGGTTAAGTTGGATATCCTATACCATGAGATATGTATATATTATATATATATAATGAAGTGGATCCATCTGAGAAAGAATGAGGTGCATCAAAGTCCTTAGTTTGAAGGAAAAACCCACGGATGTGAGAGTTCAACGGGATGATGTGAGAGTTCCTTGGTGTGTTTCCGAAAACCATCTTGGCATCTCTTGGCATCCTTGGCATCGGGGCACCTGACCTAATCGACCTGACGGTCTCTCGAACCTGCCCTGCCCCTTGAGGCGCTGAGGTGACGAGTGCGGCGGACGAGCGTCGGTGAGGGCAAAATCAATACCTGGACCCTGCGACCCTCTGGGTGTCCTGTCTGATCGAGAGTAGTATGGAGGCTAGTCCATGGTTGACCCAGAACGGGTGTTGTAGTAGAATAGATTGCGAGAAAGGCCAGATCTGTGGTTGGCCGTCTGTTAAGACGGGTTACGAGAGGTTACGTAGTAGGTGGTACGTGGTAGATCTTCTGGGTGGGGGGTCGAGCCCATAGATAAAGTGCACCAAAGGGATCCCCTGTCCAATCTGTGGGCAATTCTGGCGATTTCGAACCGAGCGTGGAATAATGATAGAAGATGATTGAAGAGCCAAGATCATACCCGGTGAACCATGGTAGGGGGGGTCGGGCAGAATTCGAACACACTCAAAAAAGAATGGGAGACACCCAGCCTTGATCCAAGATCTACCTTGTGCCTCCAAGGATTTGGTTAAAAACCCGAGGTTTTCCCTTATGTCACGGCTAAACCCGAGGTTTGTTTTCAAACCCGACAAATTTGTAGGGTTCAGATGCTCAGGGTACAAGCCCTGCAATGACCTCTAAGTCGTGGTCCTCTACGTCCCATGGACCCGCAAGCCGAGAGCCGATTCGTCTTTGAGGGTCCACTCACGGCAGCGTCGCATCACTTGCGAGAGCCGAAAAGCCTTTGTGAGCCTCGTTTGAGTCCCTTCTTCCGCCGCTGACTTCAAGAAGCTTGGAACATACTGGCTCCAAACCTCAGTCAGCACTAAGCTTGGACACTGTTGAACACCTCGCCTCGCCGTCCTTTTTCACAAATCCGCTCCCTTCCTCCCGCTCTGACGTCCCCACCTCCTTCTGGCGAAGCTAAGCCCGTGCTCTTCGCCGACTTCGCCTGGCGCCACCGGCCGCGCCGCCACCGGGGTGACCCGGTGCACCCGTGGCGCGTTTCGCCGACGCCCGGGGCGGTGACCGGTGACCACGGTGGGTGACGCCCTGAGGTCTGTGCCTCAAGTCTGACCAGACCGAGTCCCAACGCCCAAGACGAACGGCGCCCCTGGGTACATTGGGGAGATCCATGAAAACCAAGAAAGACCTTCCTTCCCAATAAGAATGAAGCCAGTGGCAACCTTTCCATGGATGTTTTCAAAGTTTGTGTCATTTACTTCTTAGTTCACAATAGTTCACATGATACGTTCCTCCAATTCACCAGCTGATCATCAGCTGGTAAAAACCACCGGGTGAAACACCCGGTGCTTTGCGGCGAAGGAGTGCCGGCCTCGCTTCTTCACCACGTCACGTCGGCAACGAAGCTGGCAGGGAAGTCATGACCCCCTTCTCGTCAGAGTCTGTGAGAAAACCACGATGAAGCGAAATGAGAACCACACTGCAAAGATCTAGGTCACACAAACCACATTGCGCAGTCCACAGAAAACCATGAAATTCACTACTGCCACACTGGACCACCCAGGAATTGCGGACCGCCCCGGACCCCGCACCGCTTCGAAAACGGCCTCCGGAGCATCATGAAAGCCCATCATCTGTCCACAGCGCATCCACCAGCGCCGCGCCGTGGTCGTTTGGGCGGGGAGTCACGCGGGACCTCTTCGTCAGTCAGTCAGTCGTCCCCTTTCCAAGCCGGTTGGGGCG